GTACTGAGGAAGAAGATGGATAAACATCATCAAAGACATTTTACACCCATATGTACTGACAACAGACAGTGCCAACCATTGAGCACTAGACTACCTAGGAGGCAGCAAAGGTGTAAGATTATTATAATGATAGTGAAGGTGATGACGCTATTGATTGTAATATTGCTTGCCATGATGATTAGAAGGAGGGTGACATGCTAGCCTCTAACGCCTAGAGGTAGAACAGCAAGATAAAGAGAAAACATATGAAGTATCGCATCCACTTTTCATAAATGTTCAGAGAATTGGCTTGATTTTACCGAGATTTTATCCCATGTGGCTTGGCCTCTTTCCGCAGAAACCGTCGCACAAAACACTAACTTCGTAGCATCAGATTCTACCCCAGGCATATCCGTAGAGATTGCACTAGTGAACCAAGCGACAGAGTCCGTGAAATTAACCCACGACCTTTAGAAGGCATTGACAACGATTTGATTACTTCGCTACTAAGACCGTCATTTTTCACCAATGACATTGGGGCCGCGTTGGTTGATAGGAGACTCGCTTTCAAATCCAGCTGCTACTCGCTGCAGCCCACGGCCGGTGTTCGAAACCAGGCGGTTCCCGGAGTTCACCCATCCTCTAGGAAATGGGTACCAGAGTTTAAAACTCTGAGGTAAATGGAGGAACGTCGCTGTAGCTACGAAGTTTCGTGCGGACGGCAACACAGGCGGACAGTTTCTCATCAGCTGTCCCTACTGGTGGCAGAGCACTTATGGTTTAAAACCGTGTGCACTGACGCTGGTTCACATCTCCCGACTTTAACTTTTCACCAATGATGTGAACTAGCAAGTAAATCCGGTTCAAAATGGGTACCAGCAAACATCCAGGGAGCTAAATGTGGTCGGCTAGATGTTACCAATATCACCACTGAAAGCTGATTGGTCTATACAAATATAAGTCTAGTGCCATATCCCCAGTGCAACAGTGGCTTGAGTAGAGTCCCTAACTTAGTTACCCAGGCTGTCATGTTTCGCCATATCAAATGATCCCCAGAATCACGGATCAGACCAATTAACTTGTTTCGCCCCACATAGCAAAGCTATCCATATACTGTTATCAATACCTTTCTCTTATGTGCAAGTTTCAAGATTTTGCTGGGAAAGACAAGTTCTTCACTGGATTTCAAATGGGACAGTAAAGGATATTCTGTGATATCCACCAGCACATGAAAAGAACAGTCATGGGGTGACCCGTCTACAATGATACAGCAACCTCCACTAACTAACAATCTATTGTTCACTTTTCGTGAATCTTCTGTTACCAAGCTCTCAATTGCATTTCTTTTCATCACATGTAAGTAAAGCACCGACTGCCTACATCTCATTTATCGGTACAGCTCAGTTTCCGGGCCCAGGCTTCGCCCACCTACATGCTAGGTCACTTTTCATTCATACTTCGTTACGATCGTCAACTTTGATTAAGGTTACAGGGGTGTCCCGGTCTACTGTTTTGTTGGAAAACCTATTTGCGCTCTCTTCACCAGCCACTGATATCACGTGTTGTATATTCCAGAATGTCAGAGCTTTTAAAGGTCTTAAAACATGCAGAACTGGCGGTAACACAAACACTCCTACGAGAGTGCTGCAGCCTACTTCCCACGCATTCTCTGTCTCGGAATGAAAACTTAAATAGAAGACAACGCAGAAAGCTTTTTGAGCAAACAGTAAACTGAAACACCCCTGTAACCTTGAGCAAAGTTTACGATCCTGACCCAGCACCAATCAAAAGTGACCTAGTGTGCAAGTGGGTGGAGCTTGGGTCAAAGTTAGGGAGTTGTTCTCATTTCTATCATTAGTTTACGAAATTCATCTGCCCCAAGGAGGACTCCCCCCCCCCCCTAGTATTCCACGATATTCTTTGCATTATTTTAAAAAACCCAGATCTCACCACGAGATTTTATTTAGCTGTTCTACTTGTTGCCCTAGAGCCGTAATAGTGCAGCAGCTAAACGCTCAGCTACGGATCTGAAAGATCTGAAAGTCGTGGGTTCAGGCCCTGACAAAGCAAGACTTTTTCAAAATAACCTATGCTCCCAGGTCGATCCAGCCTTACATGGGCACCAGGTAAAATGCTGGGAGGTAAAGGTAGCGAGTGTGATATTAACTACCGAGTGCCCTATATACCCTATATGACTGAAAGTCTGGAAAAGGGTCCGTTATTTTCTGTCCGTGTATTTACAACACAGGTCCTAAATAACACTGTTTCACTCTCTTTCTCATTGCAGTTTCTTTCAGTACAAAAGTGCCGCATCTAACGGTTGTTTTCTCAAACATGAAATAATGCGCAGAAAACTGACCTACAAAAGTGCCGCATCTAACGGTTGTTTTCTCAGAACATGAAATAATGCGCAGAAAACTGACCTACAAAAGTGCCGCATCTAACGGTTGTTGTCTCAGAACATGAAATAATGCGCAGAAAACTGACCTACAAAACTGATGATCATTAGCTTCTTTCTCCC